GCAGAGGTTAAGAATCCGCCTGCCGATGCAGGGGACACGGGTTCGAGCCCTGGTCCGGGAAGATCCCACATGATGCAGAGCAACTAAGCCCGTGTGCCACAACTACTGAGCCTGCGCTCTAGAGCCCCGTGAGGCACAACTACTGAAGCCCACGTGCCTAGAGCCCGTGCTCCGCAGCAAGAGAAGCCACCGCAATGAGAAGCCCACGCACCACAGAGAAGAGTAGCCCCCGCTAGCCGCAGCTAGAGAAAGCCTGCGTGCAGCAACGAAGACCCAAGCAGCCAAAAATTAAAAAATAAATAAATTTGTTTTAAAAAAGAAAAAAAGAAAAAAAAGAAATAATGATACTGTGGTAGCAATGAGCCCACCTGGCACCCAGGTCTTGGTTTCTAAATATCATTCCCCACTAAACAGAAGGAAAGCTCCTTGGAGAAAGGGTGGAGTCCAGAGCTGGGGCCGGTAAAATTTCAAGAAAAAACCACCCTGGAACATCTTGTTGAGCCAATAAGGAAGTAAGTACCAAAGATGGAATTAGAAAACAATCATCATTTAGCAACCATTATCTGATAGAAGAGACAGACATGGTGGACACCTCCGTGCCACTCCCTTTTTCCTGCCTTCATTGAGGATGTGCTGCCTGGAGCCACAGCAGCCATCTAGCTACATGAGAAAAAGGCCAAGAGAATCTAAGTCATTAACCCTAATATCATTTGACCAAATCAATGCCAGCAGCCATCCTCCTCCAAAATTCTTGTAAATAAAAATAAAACCCTCTTTGCTAACAACAGCAACAAAATGTAAGAATCATCAATGAATATTAAATCTGGTGGGTGAAGGTCTGTTGAGGAGCGGATATTTAATTAGTTTCATGGTATTTTCCAATAAGGCACTTACTGATAAGTGCAACACTAACTCATGCTGGAGAAACCTGGAAGATACCATTTAATTAATTAGTTAATTAATTAAAATATATATATATATATTTTTGATGTGGACCATTTTTAAAGCCTTTATTGAAGTTTTTACAATATTGCTTGTTTTATGTTTTGGTTTTTTGGCCACTAGGCATGTGAGATCGTAGCTCCCCGACCAGGGATGGAACCCACACCCCCTGCATTGGAAGGGGAAGTTTTAACAACTGGACCTCAGGGGAAGTCCCTGGAAGACACCGTTTTAACATAATCAGGTTAATATAATTAGGGTAGGTTATAAGTAGTGGAAGAAATCAACATTCTTTGCCCCCTGATACATGCAGTGAGAACACAACATCACTTCTGTGGTTTCTGTCCTAAATGCGTGTCATGAGGAAATATTAAAGAAAAGCAAATTGAGAGGCTTTCTACAAAATAACTAGCCAGTAATCTCCAAAAATATCAAGGTCATAAAAGATAAGGAAAGAATGAGGAATTGTTCCAGACTGCAGAAGACTGAATTAGACAGCAAAATACAATATGTGATCCTGGGACGGATGCTGGAGCTTTAAAGAACTTTACTGAAACTCTGAATGGGATTTTGGAATTACCTGGTGATATTGGATCCATATTAATTTCCTGATTTTGAAGATCATACTGTGATTATGTGGAAGAATGTGCTTTACTTAAGAAATAAACTGAGGGGCTTCCCTGGTGGCACAGTGAGAGATAACTATCAAAACAACAAGGCACATCAGATCACAGAATTAAGTTTGTCTGAGTGGGGAATACCCGTCTAAATAACTATTATTGAACTATTTGAAAGAAGGAAATATGGAGATGAAAAAGAAAAGATATTAAATGTTTTCATTCATTTTGCAAGCGTCATATCATAAAAGAAATCAGTTTATGTCCATAGCTTCATATAGAATTAGAACCAGTGAGTTAAACAACAAGGTCCTACTGCATACCACGGGAACTATATTCAATATCCTGAGATAAATAATGGAAAAGAATATAAAAAAGAATGTATATATGTGTATAACTGATTCACTTTACTGAACAGCAGAAATTAACACAGCATTGTATATCAACTATCCAATAACAAGAAAAAATTAGAGGGCTTCCCTGGTGGTGCAGTGGTTGAGAGTCCGCCTGCCAATGCAGGGGACACGGGTTCGTGCCCCGGTCCGGGAAGATCCCACATGCCGCGGAGTGGCTGGGCCCATGAGCCATGGCCGTTGAGCCTGCGCGTCTGGAGCCTGTGCTCTGCAAAGGGAGAGGCCACAACGTGAGAGGCCCGGGTACCGCAAAAAAAAAAAAAAAAAGGAAAAAAGAAAGAAACTGGGACTTCTCTGGTGGTGCAGTGGTTAAGAATACGCCTGCCAATGCATGGGACACAGGTTCAAGCCCTGGTTCGGGAAGATTCCCCCATGCTGTGGAGCAACTAAGCCTGTGCGCCACAGCTACTGAGCCTGAGCTCTAGTGTCTGCGAGCTACAACTACTGAGCCCACGTGCCACAACTACTGAAGCCTGCATGCTTAGAGCCCATGCTCTGCAACAAGAGAAGCCACTGCAATGAGAAGCCCGTGCACCGCAACGAAGAGTAGCTCCTGCTCGCCACAGCTAGAGAAAGCCCAAGGGCAGCGATGAAGACAGAACACAGCCAAAAATAAAAATTAATTAATTAGTAAATTTAAAAAAATTAAGGAAACCAATCGGTTAAAAAAAAGAAAGAAAGAAACACTAGGGACTTCACTGGTGATCCAGTGATTAAGAATCGGCCTTCCAATGCAGGGGATGCGGGTTTGATCACTGATCAGGGAACTAAGATCCCACATGCCTCGGGGCAACTAAACCCGTGCACCTCAACTACTGAGCCCACTTGCCACAACTAGAGAGAAGCCCGCCTGCCTCAAAGAAAGAAAGAAACACTAAAGAATTAAGGGTTAATGAGACACCATGTGTGTATCTTATACTCAAAGGATTAAGAAATGTTAACAATTGGGGAATCTGGGCAAAGTGTTTATGGGAGCTCTGTGCATTCTTTCTGCAACTTTTATGTAAACTTGACATTATTTTAAGATAAAAAATTAAAAACCCAAATGCACAAAGTTGAACATTTGATGCATTTTGATCTGCAATCATTATCCTTATTGAGGATCAAATTGTCCAGTTTGTGGCCAATGGAAGCTTCTTATTGGCTCCCATTGACATTATCTTACCAGGTAATGTCTTTGATAACTCCCTTTCTGGTATATCAAGATGTGCCATTTTTGTCTGTACATTTCCTGCCCCTGACTCAGAATCAGATTTTTCCTCAGTGTTCCTGGCTTCTTTCAATTGGAAATGGTATTTAGAGACCACGATCTGGGCTTACAGGGTGCTTATTACAAGAAGGTTGGTCTTTGTTTCAGACTTCTTTTCAGTGGACAGAGGTAGGAAATGTTTGCTTTTTATAAAGATAAAATATATCATGATACTCCCAATTCAAATTCAAGACCACAGGGTTTTTCTTTAATGTGATCAATCTTACATCTGTACCTCCTTCACTACCTCTGAAAAGCTCAGTTCTTGACACCAACATAATCACTCCTTTTCTTTAACCCAGACTAAATGTGCAACAAGCTCAGAATAACAATTTTAACACCACCACCACCAATATAGTGGTATGTACAATCAAACTGTGGAGTTTTAAAGTCACTAGTTCATCTCTGCGTTGTTTTGTCAACCAACAGGATACACAGGTTAATTTGTTTTATCTTATTTTTGTTTATAGGGATATCTTATATTTTAAATTTTGTTTTAAAGTTATATAAAATATTTACATGGTTGTAAAGTCAGATATCCAAAACAAGGTACAGTTTTAAAAGTCTAGCTTCTATTTTTGTCCCTTCTATTCTACCCCTTCCCTCTATAGGTAACCTTTTAAAAACTGTTATGATTTATTGTTCCTTTTTTTTTTTTTTTTTTTTTTTTTTTTTTTGTGGTACCGGGCCTCTCACTGTTGTGGTCTCTTCCGTTGCGGAGCACAGGCTCCGGACGTGCAGGCTCAGCGGCCATGGCTCATGGGCCCAGCTGCCCCACGGCATATGGGATCTTCCCGGACTGGGGCACAAACCCGTGTCCCCTGCATCGGCAGGCAGACTCTCAACCACTGTGCCACCAGGGAAGCCCTTATTGTTCCATTTTTGAAAAATGTAAGCTAGTACAGCACAGAAGAATTTGATTAAGGTAATTGAGCTGATCTACATATTCAATAAAGGCAGGGGAAGGGGAAGAAAGGAGTATTGAGGCCATTCTCCATCCCACCCCAAGCTCTTCACCATTGTCAGTTCCATTGCTTCTTTAGGGAAATATTTTTGGACTTTCCAAATATTCCATGATATGCCTCCCTCACTCGCTATAATTTATCACCTTTGTAATTAATAATTACATAATCGACTGCTTAATGTCTATGTCATTCCCTAGACTGAGGTCCATGAGGGCAGCAATATTTACTCAACATTGTGTCCACAGCGCCTAGCACAGTGCCTGGCTCATAATAGGCCCTCTTATTGATGCTTATTACATCTAATGAATGAATTTGTTGTATGTATGAATGAATGTGAATGATAAATAAATGATGTTGGCTTTAGGCTCTTCCACGGCCCCTTAACCTCTCTAGACTTCTGTAGTTCCTCTCTGTAAAATGTGATCGGACGGTTCATCCCTCCCCCAGGATTGGCGAGAAGCCTAAGAGAGGTGACGAACACTTAAAAATCCCTTCGCTAGTGTCGCGTTGAATTCTGTAACGGTTTTATATATTAACTGGTCTTCTGCAGGTGGCGCCACGTGCCCCGCTCGTGTCCCGAGTCGGCATGGGGCGGGGCCAGGGATGGGGGCGGGGCACAGACCGGGGTGGAGCCAGGACGCAGCAGGGGCGGGGGCAGCAGCTGCGGCGCCGCCGGGCCTGTGCGGCCCAGGACGTCCCCGTCGCCTCTGGCCCCGCCTCCCAGGGCGGGACTTCTACGGCGATTGGCCAGTGTAGGCGAGAGGCGGTCGCCATTGGTTCGTGGCGCCGTCTGCTTGGCGGGCGGTGTCCCGACGCAGGTGCCGGCCGGAGCGGAGCTAGCGGCGCTGACGAGACCGGCCGGGCCGGGACCAGGGCCCGG